TAAACTTTGTAAAAACTTTGTAAACTTTGTAAAAACTTTGTAAACTTCGTAAAAACTTTGCAAACTTGAAAACTTTTGTAAACTTTGTAAAAACTTCGTAAAAACCTTGCAAACTTTGTAAAAACTTTGTAAAAACTGTGTAAACTTTGTAAGAACTTTGTAAACTTTGTAAAAACTTTGTAAAAACCTTGTAAACTGTGTAAAAACTTTGTAAACTTTGTAAAAACCTTGTAAACTGTGTAAAAACTTTGTAAACTTTGTAAAAACTTTGTAAACTTTGTAAAAACTTTGTAAACTTTGTAAAAACTTTGTAAACTTGAAAAAGCTGGTGTAAACTTTGTAAAAACGTTGTACAACTTTGTAAACTTTGTAAAAACTTTGAAAACTTTGTAAACACTTTGTGAGACTTTGTAGACTCTGTAAAAATTGAAAAACTGTGGAAATTCCGAACTTTGCAAGAACTTTGTCAAATTCCAAAGCTTTCTAAAATCGTTGTAAACTTTCAATGCTGTGCAAAAACTCTGTAAACTGTATAAACTTTGCAACTTTTGTGAAAGCTTTGTAAACTATGTAAAGTTTGCAAATGTTTGTACACTTTGAAAAAACTCCATCTGAATTTGTAAAAATTGCAATCTTTGTAAAGATTTTATAAACTTTGTACAAGCTTTGTAAACTATCAAAACTTTGCAAAACTGTGTAAACTTTGTAAAAACTTTGTCAACATTGCAGCAACATTGTAAAACTTTCAATACGTCTTTAATTGATTTTTTAATGGTAAAACCTTTGTAAACTGGGTAAACTTTGGAAATTGTTCAAAACTTTGTAAACTGTGTTAAAATATTGTAAACTTTGTAAAACTTTGTAAACTTGGTAAACGGTTGTAAAACTTTCAAAACTTTGCAAACTTCATAAAATCTGTGTAAAACTTTGTAAACTTTGTACCAACTTTGAAAGCTTTGTAAAAACGTAGTGAACTTGGTATAAACTTGGTAAACTTTGTCAACACTTTGTAGACTTTGTAAAACATTTTTAAACTTTGTCAAACTTTGTAAGCTTTGTCAACCTTTAAACTTGTAAAACTGTGTAAGAACTTGGTAAAACTTTATTAAGGCGTTGTAAAATTCGCAAACTTTGTAAAAAGGTTTACAAACCTTTTACGAAGTTTTGGAGTTCTTCAAATTATTCTTCAAAGTTAGAGCAACGTTTTACACAGTTTTTAGAACGTTTACAAAGTTTTGTATTTTTACAAAGTTATACAAAGTTTACAAAACTTTCACAAAGTCTTAAGAATTTGTACAAAGTTTGCAACTTTTGCAAAGAGTTGACAGAGTTGTTGAATTACAAACAAACTTACAAAGGTTTACAACGTCTACAAAGCTTTTACCATGGCCGTTCACTCACCACTCACGAGACAAACAAACCTATGAAATAGTCCTTTGGGTCTCGTATGTTGCCACTAACAACGCAAAAAAACAAGACGTGTTTTATACCCTTTGTTAGTTCTGAACAACCAATTCTTCAGAGGTCCGCAAGGGTCAAAAACACTTCTTCTGCGCTAATTCCCCCGAAACAACGAACGACGGTCCCCAAGCAACTTAACAGGTCCAGGGAAGGTACACATGGAAGTCTATATTATTTAAATACCCTACGCGGCAGGATATTCCTCTCCAATTCCCAGTTACCCTTCGCCCAGCTTCGCCCGAAACCGATGTTGGAAAACTCCTTCGATCCAATCCCCAGTGCCCGGCCCTTTCGAACTCCACCTCTAAGGGCATCTGACGCAAGCGAATGGTGAAGCGATTCCTGCATCGGTGGAGACACGATGTACACGAAGGAGGTGATGTCGCGGTGGTGGAGACACTGGGACTTGCCGCCCCCCCAAAAAGACACCTGCAAATCAAGCAACGCTTCTTGTTTCGGCCAACGTGGCATACTTACATGTAGCCTTATAGCTTCTTCGGGGCACCCAAATAGATGTTGTTACTGAGATAATAGTGTTAATTGCACTGTTGGTTCATAAACGCCCACGACCAGAATGGTATTAGAATGATTCAAATGGTTTTACATCATTGAATCAGCGTTATGGAGAATGTTGATTTGTCAACCAGTCAACCGTTACTAAGCCTACTCTGGCCGTGCGAAACGGGTGCTTTGAACAGCACCGCGCCCTGCGGCCCCGTGCCCGGAAGGGCGCACCTCCCTATACGGCGAGCGGAGACGCGACCGTGGCGCCTGCAGCTGTGGATGATGCCGTAGCGGCCGCGGGAGTGCTTCCGCAGGCTCTTCACGAAGAACCTCCGGCGAGGCTTGGATTCAGTCGATGACTTTTGGGTCGATGTGGGACCCGGAAAGAACAAACAACATAGGGGCTCGGGGAATGTGGATCGTGGGTGTCTTCGACTGGTTGGCGGCGTTGGTAGTGTAAGTGTTTGGGGGTGGCTGTTGGCAGCGTTGGTAGCCCAGCAGGTCAACGCACCAGTTTAACCAGTTCTTAACGCACCAGTTTAACCGGTGCTTTAGCAAAACGGGAGCTGGAAGCTTGAACAGGCTGTGTAAAACCCATGAAAAGGACGTGAACAAAAACCCATGAAAACAGGGTGAAAGGCTGTGAAACACCTGTTAAAATTAGGTCTTAGTTGGGAGGTGAAATGCGTCCTTTACGCTAACGCACCAGTTTAACCCGTCCCTTGGACTTGCTCGCCAGTGTAAGTGTTTGGGGGTGGCTGTAGATCTCCCTTGCTACTACCGGTGAGGATGGAACACCTGATTTTTACAAAATCCTGGGGGAAATACCGGTGTCAGGTTTATAAAAACCTGAGGCACCATGTGCGTTTTATTTTGGAGATACACATGCACACATTATACTAAATCCTGTGTTGAAGTTCTATGGGTGTCCGGAAATGAACAGTTCCGGACCAAGTCATTTCCCGTGGAATTTCCTGACGGATATCTTGTATTTGTGTGTTTTTCCTGTGTCTGGACAAAATCGACCAAAGAGATCAAACACAAACTACAGCAGGACACCTTCTCAAGATGTTGTTCGTTGATACTTGCGGAATGTTTCGCTCGCCCCAATTGCCAAGACGACATGTGAGTCAATCCACTCCTTCCACTAGGCTTGCAGTGTTGCATCCATTGTGAGTGTGTCCCGTATGAATCTCCTCTTGAAGCTTTCGGTGGGGTGGCCATGGTCTGGAGAGTGTGTCTTGGATGCTGTGTTTGTTCACTCTCGAGCGGGGAGGCATCTGGATCGAACTGACAGGCATCTGGTCGAACAGCACGACCTAAACATAGCAAGGACTTTTTCATATAGGAATGCGTAAGCCTCTTGTCATTGTGAACAAGTTAAGCCCCAAGAGTCTGCGTTCTTCAGCAACTGCGTGAGCCTTGACTGCCCGGTATGTGTCAACATCAAAAATACAAATGCGAACCGTGTTCATACGGGCCCTTTCTAAATCAACTCTTTCTTCTGGCCCAGATCTTCAAAGTCAAATCGACGATTCTTAAAGTCTTTGTGTCCTCTTGCTTTGCCGATTTTCCATCTCGACGATTGCCCGTCGGGGCCCTGCGCATGTTCCATACTTCTGCTCGCGGCCGTCTTGAGCTGCAATGACCTTGACAGAAACACCTGGAGCTAACCTGACCATGATGGCAAGGTTCATCCAATCGTTGAAGGGTCACTGCATCCTGAAGTCTCCAAGCGTCTTGAAGGACAACATGGGATCTCAGAAGCAGCATGTCAAAGAACAAATTGTTCTCCTCTTTGTTGAATTTCGACTTCTGATTCCGGTACCAGACCGCATCTTCCTCATCAATGACGATGTGTAGCGAGGCGTTGTAGATTTTGCACCACCAATCATCTCACACAGACACTCCAAGACACGACCCATGCGACTGCCAGTCCGGACTGCCGAGAAACGGCCAGGGGTGGTTGATTGAAAAGGGGTCTGGCTGGGCTGGCAGTCCGGACTGGCAGTCCCAGACGGGTCGTGTCTGGGTCATTCCAACTCAACATGCTCCTCCGACCATCGGTCGAGCTGACCAGATATCGTTCACCACCCGTCATCCGTGATAGGCACTGGTGGCACGTCGTCTTCCCACGACTGTCCCGCTGGAGCACTTTGTGCTCCACCTCTTCCCGCCCTCCGGTTGAGAAAACCGGGCGTGCGATCCGAACATCGACATCAAAAACTCAATTCAGAAACTCTACTTACTTGTTGACCAAACCAAATGACCAAATGACCAATCCACCCACCTCCCGGCACTCCCACAAAAACAAACAACACCCCACCTTCTACTCATGCCTTCCCATCCGAAACCAACCGAGAAGTGCAGCCAAGAGCGCCCGAAGCCAGGCTGCGGGTCCCACAGATAGGTCCGCGCCAAGTCCCAGCCGCGCCTCAGACTGCTTCAGACTCGTCTGGAGGAGGGTCACATGGCGGTCAGGTCCGTTTGGCTGGGGTAGAATTCTGTATATGACATGTATATATATATATATATATATATGAATGACTATATAACGCTTGTTGTATAACATTGTATAACTATGTTGCAAATGGTGGTATAAATGCAACCATATCTTCCAGCCTCATGCATGGTCTTGATCGACCCAACAGCAGCGTTCGCCCCACCCCACTGGCCACCCGAGACGTCCCATGTGGATCGGTGCGAAGCACCGTTCACGGTGCCTTCCTCCGCCGGCGGACGTCTTGGACATCTATCTAACACAGATGCACACAGATGCACACAGACAGGCAAAATGCGGCTCATCCCATCTGTCTTACTCCGCATGGATGGGCTCACTCCCTTGGGATCGAAATCAACCAGGGCCCTCACCAGGGGAGCTTCCAGGGGAGAGAGACTGAAGAAGCACCTTGGACCCTTCCAACAAGCTCTTTCGAACAAATCCAAACAAGAAAATCCAAGAGACTCCACTCCACTAATATCACTTCCAGGAGAAAGCAATAGGAACCCCAATCCGCTTGACAACCTGAGCTTCTGGCTTCTCTTTCACCTCATCCATCGCCTGGTCACGTGATTTTCACAGCAGCGAACCCGCGGAATCGAAAGAACCGGATCAGCGGATCGGGTCGAGTCTTTCTCTGGATCATGGACCGACATGAACTCTGGACTGACAGTGAAAGGTCGTTCCCCTAAGCTCACGCTGCTGGGTCACCATAGACTGGACTGGGAACCAGTGGGTCACCATTGTCGTCTTGTCTGGCGCCCCAACGTTGTGCATGAACAACATATATCTCCAATCAACAACGGGTGTTAAAAAAAAGAAATGGGATCTCTTGGAAGATCCTGGAACTAAACCACCGGCGGAGACGAATGATGCCCTATGGCGGAAATGCCACCCACCAAACTTAAGGGATTAGAAGGGGCAGTAATGACTGGAATTGAAGGAGAGGATGTGAGAAGAATCATCCAAATGACTAGTTCCCAGCCAGTCTCTTTGAACCAAAACGCCTTCGGCTCACCCAACTTCACCACGCTTCGCCTCGTTCTCGACCCCCCCTCCATCCGCTCCATCTCCCCTTCCCTCTTAAAGAGCACAACGTTTCATAACGTATTCAAAGGATCGCAAACCACAAGTCAGTAATAACATTATATTCTAAGCAACACGCCTTTTCGGAAGAGGTTTTTTCCGGCCTTTTGAATAAGCTTCAGGATGGGCTCCGACTTCATCCGCGACAACGAATCGACCCACTCATAGGCGTCCTTCAGGACTGGAGGCGGCCAAATGAGACCGTTTTCGAATGCGCAGCGCCACCGAAGGAGTGGCAGAAGGGTGGGACGGCTGGGATGAGACCGGCTGCAGATCGGGCGATCAAACGAAACGCGTCACATGCAAAGAGCCAAGTTGGAAGGTCCCTGAGATCGGGCAAGTTTTGCAAAGCAAGGACGAAAAAAAGCAAGTTCAAGGGTGTCCGATTCAAACGCGACACACGTTGTAAAGGGATGGAGTAACAAAAAGTCTTCGCAAAGAAGGATTTGGGGTCCCTTGGGGTTCTGTATCAGTTCATCTGGCTCCCATAGGATGCAAGAACGTCCAGAGACGAAGGTTCAACGCCCAGTCCATACCATCTCCAGAGTTGCTAAAAGGGTGCGCCGCTGTCAAGATGAACATGGATTGAGAATGATCAAAATGAACATGGACCGAACCATGCCACACTACAGCAAATACTTTCCACAAGGCTGTCGTTGCCCAAATTCCAAATCCGGTTTTCGAATGAGAACCAACATAGATGGCTGCAGCAGTTCCAAAGGGGTGCTATCCGAGGTTAGAGCTACCCATCCACTCACTCCGTAAGGGACGAGCCACACCACCCAACGTCCATGTCCTGGTACCTTGGGACTTGATCGTGTCATCACCGCGCAGAGCTAGCTTAGCAGATCGCGCCCAGCGCCCAGCGTGCGCTGCGAAACCGTTTCACGTCTCCGGCTCCGGCGCAACGAACGTCGGCCACCTGGATCTGTTTCCGCTTCATCAGCTTGGCCTGGGCACCGTCGCGCTTGGTCGGACGGCACCGTGGCGGAGTGAGCCGACCTCGCAGACCAGACCTCGAGAGATATCCATCGCAACGATATCCAGTTGTTCTTCAAAAGCCGCAGTTCTTCTTCGAAATCCCAGATCCTGCGGTTTGCACACCTCGGATTCTGAACACCACTGCTTGTCACACTGCCGGTGGTTTCCGGTGAGCAGTGTTAGGACTCACCTCTTGAGGTCCTGAGTCCTAGGCGCTCCAACCGGGTCACCTCGTTGGACGACCGGACCCCGGTGCACGGCGGACAGTCCATGCGGACAGGGCGCATAATGCAACAGCTTCCGAAAGCTCATGCGGATCTCCTGGCTGTCGGACGTCCCGCGCGCGGAGGGACGGCGGGAAGGGGGGGCGAGGCTGGCTAAAGGGGGGGAACCACGGCGGGAGAATGGGACCCGCGCTGAGGCTTGCAGTACTGGAAGTTGGACTGCCCAAACCAGCTGTTGGACTGCCTCTCCTGTATAATTAAGTGGTGGGGGTTCCCATGGCCTTCTGTCAGCATGGGGAGGTCATTCTCGACAACGAATTGTCATCCCAAGTGCCTGGCTGCTACAGTTACCATCAGTTACCCCCGTCCTGGGAAAAAAGGAACATGTGAACATCACCTCCTGATTTGGTGAAGCTTGGATATTGAGCTCCATGATCAGCTGCATTTGTCAAGTTCTCATAACACCCAGTGCGAACAATACCTACAAAATACCAATAGACCATCCTTGGATATGATATATGAACTTCCCAGTCCAATCCTGAAGTCTGTGTTCACATGTGTTGTCTTGACGGTCCACACCCGGTCCACTCATCCCTTCACTGCAGTGCCTGTTGGTGTTGGTGTTGGTTCTTCTGGTGTTGGTCCTCTAATTGTCTTTCGTGTATGGCTCTGCGTTGCTCCTCCCCCAAACACCGTGCCCTTGCTTCGTGCGTGTGGTTGGTTTTCTTCCTGTGTTTGGTTTCAGCCTCCCACTGGCGGCCTTCTCAGTGAAGGAGACCATGTCCTGGTCCTTATCGCCGAAAATGGGTTCCTGGTTCTGGTACGACTCACGCGTGCCACGACTGGTACGTGGGACGAAGACGCACTGAGGAGGGGGGCGTGTTGGTACCGGTTGGCAGCGCAAAGCGTCCACTTGGAGTCGACCCGTTCGTGCCTGGGAAAAGGGGTACAGTCGTACCTATAGTCTCTACCAAGACCCTCCAAGGGGTGCCCAATGGAAGCCTATAGGTAGTGTGGGGTAGTCCAGCCAGGACACCCCTTGGAGGGTCCAGGTAGGGTCATTACTTGAAGTCGGGTCCAGGCATATATATATATATATATTTGATCCTCAAATTTTTGGAACACTGCAGTCATCCTGTTGTAGTGGAGTGTCAAAGTATCCAAAGCAACTTGCGCAATCCAGAACCATCTATATCCCTGACTCGACGCACTGAACATCTTTACTTTGAGCACTCTGAGTGATGTGGGTCTTCAGCCTCCATATGCAAATCAATTGGTTCGTGGTTCAATAACCGGGGGGGCCCTGGCTAACCACCGAGAATGACACAAATTCCGAATAGACTACCTGAGAGGTCAACGAACCAGGGTGAAACGGGCTCCAGTTTTGATGTGTACTGCCAATGACTTGTGTAGGCAATGAAAAGTGTCAATCCACCTAGCTTGCTTGAACACTGTTCTCCCTTGAAGCTTCCATTGCGCCATCTTTGTAAGCATGTTCTTTTCAAAACAAGCCAAGGCTGTCAAAAAAACAGCATTTGTGTGGACACAATGAGTAATGTAGACTCTCTTGATTAATAACCCTCCACTTGGATTGCAAAAACACAAGAGGCAACTGGATAGGTGCGTGTGGATTCAACATCACGCGGTGAGTAGCCTACATCGACCCTGAAACATATATCTTTCGGTCACCTTGGAGTGTTTGCGTTTTGTTTCTTATCAATGTTCCTTGGCAGTTGTTTTTTGACTGTTTCACCCTGCCTTTATCGTGTTTGTTTTAGTTCGATTCTTTGGTCATCGCTGAAGTCAAACAGGTGTGAAGGTCCTCGAATGATATATAATCATTAAAAAGGTGATTATGATGTCATGACACATCATGTTGGACTGCAATTCTGGGACTTACGCAACTACTTGCTGTTAATGCCCATGGTCCATGGTCCACATGTTGCCCAGCAGTGCACCGTGAAGCAACCCTGGCAGTGTGCCTCGTACTCAGCTCAATACTCGCGCCACGAGAGATACATGACACCTTCATTCACATCTTGGCCTAGATGTTTGAATCCGGCCTTCCAAGAAGGGACCCGGACAAACCTTCAAGATTTTAAGGTTCACACACTCCATGGATCAATGACTGGTCTGATCTTCAGATCGGACCAATTATAACAAACTGAAAAAGGAACGGTTCCCGGCCCATCCTTTACGAACAGCCTCCCCCCTTCCCCCCTGCCAACTCTACGACATGGATGCCTTAGCAAAAACCCAGAAAGACACTCTTTTGACTCTTGCGCACGCCGTCGACAACCCAGAAACACGCCCAAAACAAACCATTTTCCACTCTTGAGGGAACACCCACCCCCCCGGTTCGTCTTCCGCGGGCATGGTTTTTTTCCCACCCGTTTTGGGTTCTATTCTGACTGTTTGGAGTAGGGCTCTTTTTTGACCCGTTTCAAGGTTTTGTTTGACCCGTTTCAGGGTTCTTTTTTTACCTGTTTTAGGGTTCTTTTTTGTCTCGTTTGTTCTATTCTGTAATGCTTCTGGCGCCCGCGTCGCATAGTACAGCATCTTCTTGGAAGAATGCAGTCCGGCTTTCCGGCTCGGTCCGAGGATATCCGATGATCTGCCTCAAGCGTCGCAGTAGGGCTCTTTTTTGAAGCGGTTGCCGTCGGCCAGCGCCGAAAAAGGGCCATCGGATTCGTAAGTGAGCTTGTAGCCGTGGCTTCGCAGTGCGTCAATCAAGCACACATTCTCGAACCCACTTTGCCTGCAGCGACACGTGGGCCAGCTGCACAGGTCACAACTCGCAGACCCTCCCGCGAAGTCCCGCAAAAAAGCCTGTCCTCTCTTCCGGCTTTTGCCTTGGCACTTCACCTGCGCACGAAGATTAGACTTAGATGTGGACATATTCACTTTGCACAGCATGCAACGCAGCTGTCCCTCTCTCTCTCTCTCTTTCTCTCTCTCTCTCTCTCGATCTCTCTCTTGATCTCTCTCTCTCTCTTTCTCTCTCTTTGTCTCTCTCGCTCGATCTCCCTTTGCTGCGAAAACAAGTTGTTGTGTTCTTCAATGGCTGCATCAAAGTAGCGATTATACGCAGCCTTCCGGAATTTCGTCAGACTCGTGTATGCCCGCGCGTGTCTCCATACATTGACTCTGTAGGCCGCATCGCGGATCCGTTGCCGCTGCCTCTTCGTTGGCCCGGACGCGATCCCGGACATTGCGCCAACACGCGCATGGGCCTCCACTGGATGTGGGCCACTCCATGTGACCACCTTCTCTCGTGTCGGATCGCTCTCACCCTGCATGTGACCCCTGCTGCTTTTGCCTGCAGCGCACTAGCTTGCCCAGATAACATCCTACACAAGTCAGCAACTCAGCCTGCGCCACGTCCCTCCGTCCAGCATGAGGCAGCGTCCGAGGTGATGGACAAGCGGCGAGGCTGCACTCCTCCCCGGTAGCGCCGATACCACGTGGGTCTGCAAGCAGACTACTACGTAACATGGTTTTCAGCCAGCACGTATCTCTTAGTTACCACACGCGCAGCAGCCGCTGCCTTGCCGTGCGCGACCACACTGGACGATCCACTGCCACTGCGCAGCATGCCGTGGAGCGCCCTCGTCGAGTGATAGCTGCGATGAGCCTCCCGCCTGTGCTCACACTCACAAACCTTCTATAACAGAATAGCAGACCAGGTACACCGCCCAGCACTGATCCACCACTCTGTCCGTTGATGGTGGTCACACACTCTGCACAGCCGCTGCCGCTGCGCAAACCCGTTGTTTTCCCCTCAGCACGCAGCTTCTCTTTCCATGCAAACCCTCTTATTTGTTCGGCTCTTACTGCAGGCAAGGTACATCTCGGCCCTGCTCTGCACTCCTCGCTGCAAACGTGGAGACTTCGGGCCACGAAGTTGGCGACAAAGCGTTCACCTGAGCAAGCAAGGCTTCTACCAGGGGCACCACCTTAGATAAAAACGAAAGGCTTTTCTTGGCAATAACCGGGTTATATTGAAAACAACCTGTAGTTTCAGAAAACCAGGTTTTTTAATTGAGTCGACTTCTTTGTGGCCACCTTGGCCACCTTGGCATGTCTTTGCGAGCAGTCTTCCCATTTGCAAGGCAATCCAAAGCAAGCCAGACAATTTTCTCCATGGATACATGCAGCATTGCAACAAATCTATCAAATCAATCAAAGCGATGTCTTTGCCTGTCCTTCTATTGGAGCAACAAGGCCAAAGGTGAATGGCTGTGTGCATGCAATGCCTCCAAGTGCGCAATGTTAAAGAAGAGTATTGACACAACAATCTCAATGATACTGTTGATTGTTGTATATTATTTTGTTGTCCATGTACTGCTGCCACAGAAATGACAATCTACAGCTGGTGGCTGTCTTGACCTACTTCAATATTCTACCAAACCTTTTTTGATTCATTTTGGACAATATGCTGGTTGCGTACAAATGATTCAATTAGTAACTTTTGTGAGTACAAACTTATACATTTGCCTGGTGTTGTTTGCCACGCTACAATCCAGAGTGCCAGTATCAAGTGGTACATGCAGCATTGTTCTGCAAAAGGTTGGACTGCTTCAAGTCACAAAAAGTAAACAAAACCGCCGCGTGTTCCATTGTCGTACGGGGAGAGCAGGAGCACAACTTCGAGTCCACAAGCAGTGCACCCATAGTCCAATGTCATAGCTGCCTGCATCTCTTGAAACACCTGGTTCCCCACCATTTGGTCATTGGTCGCTTTAGTAGCACAACTCGGCATGGCAATATCATAACTATTTGCATTATGACATTATGTTGCGCTTCAGGTTAGGACCATCAGTCTAAAGGGTTGTGATTGTTGCCATGTTGCTTGCAATTGTTTGTGTGCGTCAAAGATTTGTGAATATTTGGTCTATAGCGTTCTAAAGCGTTTCCAAGGGAGCACTGGCTTCGCAAAACTTGGTTTATATATAGTAGTAAAGAGTAGACATGTTGATTTGGTCTTTCTCGTTTGATGGCAGCCGATGCATAGAATGAAAGTTAACATGACTTGGCACCATTGCAAAGCATACTTGAAGCTCAGGGTATTTAGGTTTGGCAACTGAAACTTGTTGAAGCTTGTGGTGCTTTCTCAGGCCAACCACCTCATCCTTCATGGACGTCTGTGACCACCTACCCAAATGTTGTTTGTTTGCAGTTTGTGGGTTGTTGTTGTTGTGGTTCATGATTCGAAATATCACTTCTTGCATTCACTTGACACTGCGTCATCAAAGCAACCAACTACTGTTATAGCAAATTTATGTATAAGGCCTTCATCTGGAAGCAATTAACAATCAGCTTATTCAAAGTAAGATCTTCAGTTGCCACCTCACAGAAATAGGTGCAATCACTTCCATTCCTTCATCCACATCACAAATCAAGAAACCAAACATTACCACAACATTACGAGCTAATCTCAATATGGATTGGTGAGGACGAATAGTATCTGTTTTCAGATCATGGTTAGCCCTTGCTTTTCGCATCGATGTGGAAGACATAGCGATGCAAAAAGGATTCATCAAGAGAATTTGAAGGGGTAAGAAAGTACTGCATCAATAAAGCAATTAGTCGTCAATTGGTCCATGTACTTTGGGTCTACCAGGCACATTTCCCATATCATGTCCTATACTGCCTATACTATGTGATTTTAAACCTGGAGAAAGGTCTCCCTCGACAATCAAAATCCAGTTCTGTGAAGAATCGCTTGCAAATCTTTTCACAAGTTTTGAGACTCCTCTCTCATCCCGGCTTGCCACATGCTTTGGACAGATGTGCCAAACGGTACGGTTGAGAATTGTCCAGCCAAAGTCATATTGGAGTCGGATGATTGAGGTTTGATCGGTTTCATGGAGCAAATGACTGTGGGGCCTGAAAACCATTTTTTGGCCGTAGAAAACCCGTATAAAAATCCGTAGGCGTAAGAAACTCATAAAAACCCCATAGAAAACCCATAAAAACCCGTAAGAATTTATGTAGTTCTACGTAGTTTTATCCGTAGTTTTCTATAGGCCATTGTGGGATTTTTTGACTTTTTGTACGATTTGTGTCTTTCACGTTTTTCTTTTAGCAGTGCAACATGTTTTGATGCCGGCAATGGCAATCAATGCTCCTAAAGACTCCAAGGCAAAACACACAAAATAGACAATTGCTTGCTCAGGTGAACCCTTCCGGTGCTATTTCTTTTTGAAGCGCCACAAGTCTTGGGCCCTTGGAGCTTTTGTTGTAAGAGCGACTGACCAAAGAATGCTTGACCTCTATTATTTATTCAGAAGAAAAACTGCTACTAGCGCTACTAATCACCCACGCACTAGTGTTCACTCTTGAAGTTTGGCAAAGGAGGATGGTTCAGTGTTGTTGTGCTATTCTTTTTGTGTGACGCAACATTACAGTTCTATGCAACACAACCAACAAGCTGAGCTGAAAAAAACTAATTGAATTTTACAAAAGTAACGGGTTGCCAAGGGAAAACTCGTAGTCGAGAAAACCTTGGCCACTGGATGGACGGGGGTGTTGCGGTGGCACACCGCTGCAAATTTAAAGGGCAGTTCAACGCCAGCAAATTAGACGCTTTGTGCCTGACAATCCAAAAAGGTACAGCCACTCTTGCCTTATCCTTTTTGTCCATTGGAGCTGCTTGGTTCTATCTCACTCAAGCATCGACACCGAATTGACACCTCAAATGTGCAAAACAAGAGCCAGCCATGGTCTAAAGTAAATCTCACTATAGACCATATCAGTGCTCCAAATACTGCAAACAATGCCTTACGTCGTTATGGCCAATTGTTGCTTTGTTGTATAAGGGAGTGCATTAAGGAAAGGAATGCATGTGATGGTATGATGGTACCTTGTACCGATTCAGTGAAGTGGCGATTTAAGATCTTACTGTTGGCATGAGCTAACTTTTTGTTTATTGCATCAAGGTAAATGGCCTACTTATCTAATAAACTATGAGCAGTTTGCCTTCACAACTTACTTTTTATGTCAAAGTGACAAGTCGACCTCGCAAACCCAATTAGTTCGCCCCTTGAACAGCTTCAACACAATATGGCACAAACTAACAATCAAGCTCAACAACTGTGCAAGGAGCCACAAAACAGTTCCGTCAAGGATGAGGTGGTTCTGTTGATCAAAGCCTGGTGACTTTGACACTGGCTTCGACCGGTGGTAGGTGTGAGGCCAGTATCCACCATGTGATGTGAATTGGGCTTTGCATTTGTCATGTCTCCCCATATTCTCTGTACTGGCTGTCGCCGCTGAGTTTTTCCACATAAGAAGCAAATGCACCGGTGCCCCGGAAAAGAAACACCGAATGAAACCCAACTGTTTGAGACCAGCAGCATGTGTGCAAGTTGTGTTGCAAACATGGGATTTGTTTTTTCCTCTTGGTCATGCTATAGTTGTTGAATCTGGGTGCAAGCAATGAATTGCATGAGGATAAAGGCACATTGTCTGATTTTTCTGAACATGGTCTTGACACTGACCACACACTGGCTGTTTGGGAATAAACCGCAAAGTTGGCCATGTGGATGGACCACGCTCATGCGCTTAGGAGTTTTCTTTGGCTTTGGTGACAATGAAAGCATTCTGTTCGGCAGCAAGTCATGCTTTCATGTCAAACGTTAAAAGAAATACACCAGCTAACGCACTGCACCCTTTGTGGCAAATATTGAAATCAGGCGAGGCAAAGAAGAGCAGTTCAGGTAGGCAAAGAAGGGTTGCCTTGGGCAAACTTAAACAAGCACAAGTGCCTCCTATCCTTGGCAGTAATGAAATCGCATGTGTTGAAACAAGACTTGAAAACAATAACTGAATGTTCTAAAGCTTGGGCCAGGTCCAAAAAAACAGGTTTTCCGGTTCATGACCTGTAAAAAGTTGGTCAAAGAAAAAGACCTACCTTTTTCATGGTTTTGGGGGCTCATGGTAGTGCGTGCGCATCGTTTCCACGCGCCGTGAGCCAAGGCACACCAGCGTTGCCCGGCATCGCGCGCCATTCGCTTCCGTCGTCGGCACAGCGGAATCGCAAAGTATGCACCTGCAACGAGGGCGACACACCGCTGGGACAACAACATCTGCTGCACACACACGCACGTACAAACGCGCTCAGTCTTGCCGCTGCCAAGCATCACCGCGGCCAGGTCTCTTCCAGCTGCATCCCATCATCAGCGTCCACGCCTCCAGCGCCGTTACGCCGTTTTGATACGTCTTGTTTGGCGCTCCTGCCAACTTCAGAGAGACAGTCTCACTGACTGTTCCTGCCGCCGAGAAGCACAGCCTGCAAACGGTAAGAAAAGAACCCTGCGCGGGTGCCAACGGCACCTTTCGTAGCCGGAAACGGTTGGAAAAGAAGCCCCACACGGGCGGGAAAGAAAACCCCCGAAACGAGTCACGGAAGAATGCTGACAGCGTGCAACATGAAACATGGCCCAGCAGCGAAGCAAGAAAGATCACTGTGACGCGGAAAACTCCGCGGGCAGGTAGGAAAAAAGGCTGCCGGGCGCAGTCCGGGACGGAAAAAAAGAAACCTCTTGAGCGGAAAAGGAACCCTGCGCGGGCGCAAAAAGAACCACTTACAAGCACGGAACGGGCGGAAAAGAAGCCCCAGACGGGCGGAAAAGAAACCCTGCGCAGCCCGAAAATGGTCTAAAAAGAACCCCGCGCGGGCGGGAACCTGGACGGAATGAAAAGGGCGGGAAAACAACCCTGGCGGGCGGAGGAATGGAACCGTGAACCTCGCCACACCCCCGGCCGGAAAACGGGTGAGAAAAAAACCCTGGCGGGCGGAAAAAAATACCCAGCCCGTCTTCCGCCCAAACATCCCGATCCCCCGGTCGGTGGACGCCGCTCCTCCTCCGGGTCCCTCCGCCGGGGCCACAGGTGCCGCTTCCGCCGCAGCGCGGCCTTCGGCGTGGCGGTGGCCGTAGTGGCGACGAGGTCGGCCCGAAATGAAACCAGTCGCTTCACCCAGGCTGTCACATTTCTCGTTTCGCACCCCCCATGGCTGACGGCTTCAAAACAAAAACAGCAGCTGATCTCATGCACCTCAGATCCGTTCCCCTGGGACTCATGCGACCTGAGCCCGCACACCACGCTGATAAAAGCCGCCTTTGTTTTACGGAGCGTGGGATTGGCGCTCTGCCCCGAGCTGTTGAGGGTAAGTGAAGCTGCAGGGTATATATGTATAGGCATGTATAGAGTATGTGGGAATGATATGTTTTAAGGTTTTGTTGTGTTTTGTCTGAGAAATTTCCATGGACGTGTGTGGCCAGAGGTGTCAATGCCAAACGCGAGGCCCTTCCAATATCCTTCCCACATCCGTTGCTGCTTCGGAGAGCACACCCTCAGCATGACCGGGAAAGCCGTTGTTTCTGGTGGGAGGAAAAAGCTGGACACGCCCATCTCCCGGTGCAGCAGAGCAGACTGGTCAAAATGCCGTAAAGGATATTGTCACATATATGACAATAGGGGTACACACACAAAGTTGATCTTTTAGTGACACACACACATGTTTAATGTACTAAACAAATCCTATACAAATCCTTTCACACTCTTTGCAAGTAAGGAACTTCCTGGATGGCTGCGCAACGACAAGTCAAGATGAACATGTTCCAAAACACAGGCATACCGCCGCATACCCCTGACATTGAAAGTTGAACAATTTCCAGAGACAACCTAACAACTTAGAGTATGCACGGATCCCCCCGTTGAGCCGGCAGTATTCTTGCAATGTAAAGGAACATAGTTTCATGGTGTAGGATTGTTTCTTCTCGAATCCATTCGATGGTGTCAACTCCCAAAATCAACAGAGATTACAGTAGACTCAGTAAAGGCAAATCTCGCCATGGAGGAAGAAAACCATTCGAAACATTTTTTTGGTATGATTGAATGACCGGGTGGTTGATTGATTTCTGATTCAATCAACCTGGTGTTTATTTTTGGGCATCTGTTTTTACCGCCGGCTCCATTATTGCTGGGCCACCTTTGGTGGCTCGGCCCACCCGAACGCGCTGTGTTATGTGCGGGGCGAAACATCTCCTCTTGCCCAAAACATTCGGTGTTGCAAAACAAATGTGCTCGAGTCCTGGAGAGTATAGAAGATCAATAACAAACTTGTGTACAGTTTTTTTAAATGAAGCAGAATAAAAGTAATTGTAGCACTGTCATGATATAACACTGTTGAATTAACCAAATATATAACTTTACCATGCACAAACAGCGAACTAATAAACATGCACTTTTACTTAATGTTGACTGAATGTAATAATTTTTCAAGTTAGTTTAATGGGTTGAATATGGTTGACTGCACCGCCCAATTTTGTTTACGTGATCCGGCCTGTCTTTCGCGGACTAAGCGCACACGCCAAGGCAGCCAAAGTTTCCTGGCGACGACTGGCTAGCGCTGGAACAGGGTGGGTTTGAAGAACTGCGATGTGTGAAGGTTGTGCAATTCTTACCAATTTTGAGCCAAGAGGTCTTCAACCTACTTCCCCTGCAGCGAGATCGGAGCGCGAGCGCTCCGGGCGTTCAGAACCCGCGACATGGCCAAGGCAACGGTCACGGCCTCGAACACTTTATAGAACAAGGTCACGTCCTGCAGGTCCGTCTGACCATTCATCCAACATCGGCCAATGGAGGTCCATCTTGACCGTCACCGACGGCCTCCACCGAACGCCGCAGAGCGGTCTTCTGAGCGGCTCTGGTGTTCGGATGCCGACCCTGCTTCAGACTCTGCCTTCTCCCGCTTCAAGCTCCATTTCTGAAGCTGCTGTCTTAGCACGGGAGGGAGAAGTCCGCATCCTGGCCTCCTTCCACACGCTACGTGGAGGCCGGTGCCTTCGCCGCCCTTCTCCTCAATTGCGGCGCTGCCATGTCCTGCCTCTTCAGGATCAATCCCTCAGGCCCTGCAGTGGTGCCACACGCTGACACTGTTTGAACATGGCCGCCGGTTGCTGCTCGACCTGGAGCCGTCGGCTGCTCCGTCGCGAAAGAGGTGGGTGCTGGAAAAGGGTCTAAACGATCGGCAGCCGTGTCAGAATGCGGAAATTGACACGGTAACCCATTGGAGGTCTCCCAATGATGGATAGGCCGAGTGGAAGACCATCTGAACTTCAAGAACACCCGGAACCCACGCGACTCCTGCGGACCCTTGAGAAGACGACCAGCGGCGACCAAGAAAGAGATGGTAAGTCACCGTTCATTCGCCCCCTGGTGTCCCAAACTCCCAACTTTCTGCGTTACTGCTGAACTTGTTTGGGAGGCACGTTGGTAACGCGCCTCAATGTTTTGTGTATTGTTTTCGTGTCCGATGACGTTGGCCTCGGATAAGTTCGCGAAGACTCATTTCTCGACTCTGTTGGTTTCGCTGTTGTCATCCTTTGGTCGAAGTCGTCATCATTTGAAGGCCACGTCACGTCGAAGTCGTCATTGTGCCCAGTAGGAGGTTGGTTGAAGTCGTCATCATCATCATCATCATCATTAATGCTTTTAGCCAACTTCAAAGCCGTGAAGATCTGCTGAACAACAACCACTTTCTACATATCACGAGATCGGCGTGTTCCCCCCAAAGAACGGGTTCTGCAACGCATATGCCCTTGAAACTCGGCTCCTCACTGGTGGCAAAAACATGAAAATCCATGCATATACAAAGCACCAAAAGGCTCTTTACCAACGTGTTACGAATAACTTTGTTTGGGTGTGGTGGTGGTTGGCGTGGTTGCTACTTTTCTGCCTGTTTCTTTATGTGGTGGCTACTTTTCTGCCTGGGTTTTCAGTGTGGTAGCTACTTTCCTGCCAAGCTTTTTGTGTGGTGGCTACTTTCCTGCTTAGCTTTTGGTGGTGGCTACTTGCCCGCCTGGTTTTTGGTGTGGTGGCTGAGCTTTTCTGTGGTGGCTAGCTTCGTGCCTGGTTTTGGTGTGGTGGCCACTTTCCTGCCAAGTTTTTGATGTGGTGACTTCCCTGCCTGGTTTTGGTAAGGTGGCTACAGCGGCTACTTTCCTGCTTGTTTACAGCCCCTATTTGGAGCCAGTCAAACAAGAACAACGCCTGCGCAGCGTGTCCTGCTTCTTCAGCGGGTGTCTTTGTCATACTTATTCCAAATAGGGTGTGTGTGTGTGTGTGTACTAATAGGGTGTGTGTACTGTGTGCCATTCTCAAAATACGCTTTGGAAGCCTAGGGGGCCGTTTGAATAATGTATACCCAAGAAGTCCTCGACCATTCTAGACATAAACCTGGCGCCACCGACCCCGAGACTCCGTATCCCAAAAGTAGGGGTTGGTGGCACCAGGGCGTCAGCCCATTCTATTTCCATATATTGACCTCACTCAAAAAACAAGCTTCCTTGGCAAAAACCTCACCCTATTAATCAAGTGTTCATCATCAGGTTGTCACCTGTATTAGGGAGATGTGGTCTCCAATACCTCTGCCCTCAAACCTTGTTGACCTTGAAGGAGGGGTTGATTCATCCAAGTATCCAACAGGTGGCTTGTGAGTGAGACAAAGCGAGTGTGGTTTTCGCCATGCTGGTGATGCAGGGGTTCTCCCCATCGAAAAAACGCTCCGTCCGACGCTTCCCCACGCTTGGCGCCCGTCGAACGACGTGAGTGACCCAAGACGTGGTGTCCTCGGGAAGTAGAAGCTCCGGCCTTGTTCGGCCACGGCCTGTTCCAGGAGGTTTCGCCCGTGGGACACCGGTGGGAAAGGGGCAGTGCGGTGGAACACGGGCAATATTTTCGGAGTGACTTCGCCAATTAAAGCAAGTGGCTGGTTTTTGATCGAGCTTGGGGTGAATCACAGCCAGTGGCGGGTCGCCTTCCGAAGGCATGTTTTTGCTGGAAAAGTTGCCACAGGGACCCCATACAATCTTGCTGAGGGGAGAAGGCCGGGACCTTCCAAAGTCGGTAAACAAAAATGCTCATTGAGATGAGCTGCTGCACTTCACCAGTCGTTTACATGGTGCCTGCGAAACAAATTCATTAACATTGTGGAAAACACAAGCAACATATCATATATCGCTTCCGGTGTTCCTGCGTAGTCCACGTATTACATCGTATTACACCCCTCTACTGAACGAACCCAACATGGGCCGGTCGCGGTCCGACCATTAAACTAACATGCCCGGAGGCCCGACTGGGCTGGAAGAAAGCCCCAACATTCACCACTTCGAGTGCTGAAAGCACTCGAAGAAACCAGGAACTCCCACTGACTCATGTTTCGCAGCTTTCCAACCGCCCGCCTTCGAAGCGGTGCGCTCGGCCACGCTGGACAGCGCTCCAAGAGCACTCCGACGCGCTGTGGCGCGGGCGGCTGCCCTGGCATGGGGTCAGCACACGCGCGACAAGGAAAGCTGACGTCCAACGTCACGTGTTCCAAGAGCAGAACCTGACTTAGGGTTCCAATGATCTCAGAAAGCAACCAGGTTTTGTTGTTGGTCGTTGAAACCACAGATAGAATAGGCGGGTATCAATATGAATCAATGACATTCAATGACATGTTTCAGGAATCAAGGTATGTTTTCAACTATCCAGTGCTTCAATAGGGAACAATATGCCTTTCAACTTCCTCTGATTGCCTTCCAGGGTTAGTCAAGTCAAAGCACCCAATTCAATTCCAACAAGTCTGATCCAAAAAAGGAGATCCTCCGACGCAACGCGTCGGGGTGCGCTCCCAACTTTCACCCATGCAATGAGCTCCCGGAAGATTCATTGAGCATCTGCCAACACAAGCAAAGGACATGATTCAGCAAGGTTATCGCTTGTGAGTGGGGGCTATCGTTTTTGCAGGTTTGGGCCCAACTCTTGAAACTCAAGTCCGCTCTTTATTAAGACATTGCACGTCTGGGCGGGTGCTTTCATGCCTTCAAACACCACACACCCTCGAAAAGACCCCCACCCGCACCGACTCAAGGCTGAGGCCCCCTGTCCTGCAGGTGTTTGAACTTCGAGGTGGCTATTACCCTAAGAATCCGGGCCCGAAGCAACACATATAGGCTTTGCTTCGGGTCCGGACCCCTGCGAAGGTGTCGGGCCCAAGGATGAACTGATCTTTGTGGCCTTTCATCGCAGTGAGTCCATTCCAAGCGCGCCAGGGAGACCACATCTGGAAGAGTTGCAATCGCGTTCAATGCATTCAACTAAGCTGTCGTGGATATGTGGTCCATGTAAGGCTTTGGATCGGACTGGGTGAACCCACAACGTATCGGATGTGATTACTCCGCTGCTTGTGTAAATGCACCCCGTGGCAGTATGTACGAGCTTCATCCATTGTGGGGTTGAGGGGGGCGCTAAGCTGAACACATCCAAGCCATGAACAACATATGCATTAAAACAGAACACGTTCCATTTGTTTGGGGGATGAAGCTTTGCGGCTTGATTCCAATGCTTTCGGATGATGCTTTGCAGCTTTGCTGTCAAGGACTTGGTCCTTAATCCAATGCGTTGAAGTCGAGGAACACCTCTAAGTTGGTTTAGAAGAAGTAGCCAGCACTCATAGACTCATAGTGTTGCTGAAAAGCGTTGCTGTCTTGTGATCCATTCGTGCAAATTGCAACCATGAGAGCTACGCAGGGACCGTGCGCGGCGTGCGCAGCGTGGTGGTGCACATGAGAATCGCCTGGCTGTTCTGGGTGAGTGTCCGCGTCTGAACCAACGATAACCAGTGGATGAACTTGTTGAAGCAGTCTTTTCGAAGCAACATCAAGTGACCTCAGCAGTGTTGTTGCAGGAAAAATGGGCAACTCTTGGGTACTCTATCACGACCACCGGCAAAAACTTGGCCTCCCACATCAAAACGCCTTTTACCTCAACCTATCTCAACCTTATTCAACTGTGGGATGAGATATGATAATGACCAGGATAACTTGGCCCGGATGTTGCGTGTGTTGAAGTTTAAGACTTCAGTCACGTCAGTCTGACATCCGCCTCGAGCTTTTCTCACCTACACCGTTCAGACCGATTTTCTACACCTGTGTGCAAAGGGGGTGACTTCCAGCGTCATCCATCAGCAAAAACATGCAAAAACCATGCAGCGATCCTGGTTCGTTCAGTTTGTGACACTTAGATCTCCGGGGGTTTTCTATATGTTTCGGTCACTTTTTGCGGTTGGGGGCCTTCTATACTTTCGGGGGACCTGGGTTGACATGAGGGAACTTTGAAGTGAGTCACGAACTGTTCAGGTCGGATGACCGGCTGTGCCGTCCAACGGTCTTCGACTTCGCTGAACACTGAGCAGTCAACCCTGATCCAACGGTTCTCTCCTCTGGACCACTCAAGACCCTTTAGACCGGCCCTAATGCTCAATCCACCTACAAATGAAGGTCACAGTCTGTGAGGCAAACATGTGACAAAGAATTCTCCCCAACAAAACGGCCTTTCCATCCAATCCACGCCTAGAAGGGGCGAGAATCTCCCGAGAATGGGATGTCGGACGAGTCAGGACTTTCCCAACTCACACCCAGGACCGATGCTTGCATCCATGATCTGCGGTGGCACCACATGCGACCCGCCGCATCTGCGGGTTTCTGCGCTGCCCTTTGTACCAACTCCACTGACCCGAAAGACTCTTTGGTCAGCTGCTCCGCCCGAAACGGCTTTGATCTGAAGATCTTCCCCTGGTGTCCTCCGTTCCAAGCGCTCGTGAACTCCGGCTTCGCTCGGCTCGTGGCGCTGGAAGCAGAACCGGCTGGCCTTCCGCATGGCCACAGAGCCCGGCTGGCAAGCGTCGATGATCTGGCAGTAGATCGCCTTACGATTTGTTCGGAGACATGACCAAATCTACTCAAAACTATCATGGACCCTAGAAACCACTGGCCTCCATGTTAATTTTTGGGAGTGTATGATGTTGGGTCTGCTCTACCCCGCGTAGTCTGCTTTCAGCCATGTTTTTGGATGTTTTTTTGGGGGCTACTCTTACTCCCATGACCATCCCCACTTGGGTCTTATAATGATATGATATAGATTAGTCAGATTAGTCCATTAGTCCATCACTCAACTGGGTGAAAAACGGTTTCGACTTGGGTCGTCCTACCCTTCTTTGGCCAAAGGTTGTTAGACACATCGAATTACATACTGTGTTTTCTTTTGTGGTGCTATCAGATACGTCCACGGCCATGGACCACTGTTGGCGTATCATACGATGTGGTCTGACTATGTGTAACTAAAGTTCACATTATACTAAATACAAACCTATAACCAACACCATCAAGCAACAACTGGGATGTTATATAGTCTTCTCCAACAGTTCTTTCATCCGCTGAACCCCGAACCACCGCGTCAGCACTTGGCGTTCCGAACCCCACTGGCGCATTGCTCCACCTTTCGCGGCGGACCGCAGACCGCAGACCGTGAGCCGAGTCGGGACGTCCGTCGAGTCACGGGGCGAGCACCGAGGAGTGAAGAAAGAGGGTTCTCTTGAGGAAGAAGATCTGGACACGGACCGTATGTGGAAAGAGCAAGAGCACAAGAATGGAAGAGCACGAAGTCGAATTGGAATGTCCAGGATGTCTTGATCCGATTCGCCAGTCCCAGTTTTTCAGGTTCAGTCCGCTTGAAACCTATTCTGAATAGGGTCCTTCATTCATCAAAGTGACTATTTCAACTATTTCTATCTGACGATGCAAAACTGCGCTTCCTCTTTCAGGATCTTTCAGGCTGGCGAGCTGCTTCAATCACTCCTCCCTCAGTTGTGCGAACATACGCCTACCGGACCCAGCGACATACTCCGATCTGCCAAACCGGTGTGAGGTGGCACGGGGTGGGGTAACCCTCTTGAACCCTTCATCCAGGACCTCTGGGAAGGTAGACTTGAGAAAGTCGCCTTCCTTCGTAGGGTCCTTCATCAAGGATCTAGACTCCTTCAGCAAGGACACTTCCCTTCTAGAACCCCCCATCCAGGACCTCTGAAAACGTAGACTTGGGAAAGTCGACGTCCTTGGCTGGGGTCCTTCATCAAGGATTTTGGTGGAAACACTACCCCTCTAGAGTCCTTCATCCAGTACCTCACCACTTCGGGACCTCTTCAACTGAAGAGCTTGGACCAGTCCACGACCTCCCTCTATACCAAATCTTCTATGCCTAAGACATGACCAACAGTTACCAACACCCCAAGACAAGCAATTTAGGCATAGTATCGTGGTGTCTTTGGAGACTTTGAGACTTTGTCTACATCCGTTTCATGTCGATCACTTTGGGGTGTAATGATGGTGTATCTTTGCTGATCTGTTCTTCCATCTTCTTTCCGCTATGATTTCTTTTCATAGCAAAATCCTTCCTTCACCTCGCCTCACTGCATTCCGAACCCTGGTCCGCACCCACCGCCTTATCGAGGCTCACCTGTAGCAGCCCGTTGACCTGCGGTGCCGATGCTCCAATCGACGTGCAATCTGGCCTGGATGCATGGCCGCCACATATCTATGAGAGATATGATTGTATTAATGACGCTTTTGGGCGGTGCACCAAAGTCATGCGGAAGTGTCGAAAGCTCCGATGCCGAGACGCCCCTGCCCCTATAGATTCAAACGAACAAAAAAAATATGTTGTGTTGGGGACCTTTACAGAACCAGAGTAGATGGAACAGACCCCAAGACATCCTTTACATGGTGGTCCATACACAAATGGTTTAGGGGTGTTGAGGTTTTGGATGACTTTCTTTAAATGCTCCACGATGCTTCTCAGGTGGTGCAAGGTTTCGGAGATCCCAGACCTCCGTACTCCAAGACCTAAAATGCTGACCATCAACAACTCATGAAACATATGAGAGACGGTCACAACTTATTTTTTTTCAACCAAGAACATGTACGTTTTCGGTTTTGAATTGGACCTTCGCATTGTTATATGGACAGTCGCCCTGAAAATCTAACGCAGGGGGCCCGAGTGTGCAAGTCAATAGGGGAAAAGGGCCGTCTTGCACTCTTCACAAAGGTTTTGCTGGGTAGAGGGTCTTCGACCTCTAATGCGAAAAATGAACGTCAAATGCCATCAATTAGAGGGACAAACACCTGAACCCCATTTCCCTGGGTCGAGTGGTCGAAGGGCCAAGTCCAGACTCGACTTCCCTCGAATTCCTTGCTCCATAAAGAGACTCAATCGAACTCCGATATTTTAGCTCAGCCATCAGCGGCGCGGTGGCAGAAGCTCATCAGCAGCTCTCGTTGCCGCGAGGTCTCAGGTACCAGGCAGTTGTCGTAGTTCCTGGCCGCGCTGGGTCGCCGGTGGAGCCCGTCCACACACGGGACGCACCGGGCTTCGCCGAACCCGCCGTTCCTTCGTTTTTGGTTCGACCGCCGGAAGAACGCCCCTCCAAGGTCCAGATCCAACGGAGCTTGAAGCAGATCGGATCACCGTAGAAAGGGAGTCCGGATCGAAGGGCGAAGAACGGTTGTGGTTGTCCAAAGTTCGGGAGGTTCCTTTAACTACTCTGAGACTCTTAAGCATGTTTACCAAGTGCCCAAAAAAAAATCCCGCAGCCAAGCTTACCTCTTAAGTCTTCCGGATTTCCATCAATTGGTGGATTCCCCTGCGTTTGATGGATTTGTTCCCACGGTCACCCGTCATCCACAATCCTTGGACCTGTTCCCTCGCTGCACGTACTTTACATTGGTTAAGGTTTCTACATGTTTCTACTGTTTTCTAAAGTGCATACAAAATGTATGAGGGACCTGCAACCTTTGGATGTCCAAATTTGATATATGTGCTGAACAAATGATATTCCCCTCAGTTCAACGTATGCCCACACTGTCAGCCACTCACCCAGGTTTCTCTTCCTCTCAGCCACTCAGACATTTCTTCCTGTCACTCAACCACTCAGGATTTTGTTCCTGTCAGCCACTCAGCCACTCAGAATTTTCTCCTGTCAGCCACTCAGCCACTCAGACATGTCTTCCTGTCAGCCGCTCAACCACTCAGGATCTTGAGTGGCTGAGCGGCTGAGTGGCTGACAGGAAGAAAATCCACATTTCCATGTGGTGATTGCACACAACTTGGCTTTCTCTCGCAGCAGCAAATGGTAGAAGCAGCTGGTCCTGCAATATTCACGCGACCTTGCAATACGCAAGGCATGATATGCTACTGCAGGCTGTGGAGCTTGCCGAGGCAGTCTGGAAA